GCCCTCGGGCGCGCCGCCAGCGTCATGGCGGGCATCGGGGCCGGGCAAGCGGCTGCTCTGCCCTTGGCGCCCGCTGTGGAGAAGCTGCTGCCGGCGCGGGAGCCCCCAGGAGATGCTCCCTAAAAGGTCGTGCGCGGACATCTCCCTAGAGGGAAAAGGGAGGCACTTTCTGAGGAAATGACCAAAATCGCTACATTACAAGTTAAAATATTCAAGTATAGGAGGGTTCTTAGTTTCATTTTAAAAAGCTGAACTTAGTAAGAGGATAAAATTCTGTGAGACATGCCAGACCTCAGCCCTACCGTGCAAAGTTGCTTTACAGTTGCTGAAACAGCAAACTATGCAGCCAGCCTCTGAGTCATGTTCCTTCCTTTAACCCATTTCTTCCCTAGCATTCCCTAACCCATTTTCTAACAGAATTTTATTTTGGAAATAAAGGACTTCATCAGCAGGATATTCTGTACAAACACTGTCCATCCTTCTTCCTACCTTTTTTATTTATTTTTTTCTGGTTGCACGGTTCAGTAAGGCTCACGGTGGGTCATTTTGCAGAGAAGTAGCTTAGGGCACAGAATAGGATTCAGCAATGACAGAAGAGCAACAGCTTGGCTGACAGGAGTAATGCATTTGTGCATAGGCATGCGGATTATATTTGCCCAAAGACAAATTCCTTCTTATGAGATTCCATGTAAGCTCTTACTGCTCTCAGCATAGGATGACAGCAATGACAGATGCTGTTCATGGGGAGGAAAAAAAGAGGACAGTCATCCGAGAAAAGGAAAACTAGGTTGAAACATGGATTTAGAAAGAGCTTAGAGAGGACAGGATGTAAAACATGCAGTTTGTTACATATCCACACAATCCTGACAACAGATTAATTACAAATCTGAATTACCACAAAGCTGCTTCTAAGACAAATGGAAGAGATGGAAAAAAACCCAGCTTCTCTCCAAACTATATCCATCCAGAAAAGCTCCAAACCTCCCAAATAGTGATAAAAATCACACTCCAGCTAAATTGAAAGAGAAAACTATTTTGTGCCCCTGTCACTTACCATTTTTGCAGAACATTGCGTTGAACTAGATTATTTCAGTTTTGCTTTTCTCTTCTGTTTGCCAAAAGTCACAGGTTTCATTATTCAACTGATTAGGAAATTTAACTTAATTTTAAACTTTTGGCTCCAATTCCTGGTAAGGTTTGATTCCCACAGTGTATGGCAGGCTGTCTATAAATAGGTGCTCCTGGCTTCACAGCTGAGAAGCAGCCTCTTCCCACACTGACACAAGCACTAAAAGCTTAGCTGAAGATATGCATGATATCTGACACTCCAGGAGGGAGCTGAGGAGACACATGAGTAAGAAATTACCAAATTAGACTGCACAGTGATAGTACTAGAAACTGCTTTGCAATTATATTTTTTTCCAGTAAAATGAATTACTTCAGCTTTTTACTTAGTGAATGTAAAGGAGTTTTATTCATTATTCATACATCTTATTAAACCCAACTTTAAATTCCTTTGTCTCTCTTTGTAGACACTGCACAATATAGCAACAAAACAGATGATAAAACGAGAATTTGGAGTGCCCCCACGCCCCTTAAAGCTCTTTTGACCTTGTCTTTTCTTCCTTAACCTCTTACCTATTTGCCATCTAATTCTGAATTCTTAGGTAAAATGAAGTCCTTCCTGAGAGCTTATTTAAGAAGAAGCAGAATAAGGATTGGGGATACTTATGGCAGAAGCAAGCAGTGCATTAGCCATTTTATTTTAGTCATTTTTTCATAAGAAACAATAATTAAAAAAATCATAAAACTATTTCTTTCATGTTGTGTGTTTAAGGACCTAATAGGAGTTACCACAGAACACCAATCGTCCTGTTTGAGCGTGAGTCACAGCTACATACCGTGTGCCATCTCACACTGCGGAATATCACAGCACCCCATGGTGGTTGGCACGGAGTGTGAAGTTTACTGACTTCTTCACAGCTTTTCTACATACTCAGTACCCTATCCCTGGCTGCTAAGATTACAGTTAAAAATACCTATTTTAAATGATAGCCATAAGCAGTATGTAGTTGAGATCCTCATACTACTTATACATAACAATGGAACAGACCCCTAGATCAATACCCA